CTTGGGGAGAAAGAGTAGTATGGTCACGACTGATGAGGAAGTACTTCTTTTTGGAGGTTGCCAGTGATACGTGTTCAGGTATAAGAAAGGAATATATTTTCGGTCCAACCAGATTTGACTACCCGAGGAGACCACAACGACTAACAGACCACAATTCATTTGTTAAATGGGGTAAACCACATAGGGGTTGCTTGTAGATTTCCCAACATATTTTTGTTTGAGAATCATATACAAGACTGATGCAAATATGGTGATTGGTCCAGTTGACCTGTTGAAAAGAAAATGCATAAATTCCTAGCCAGAATTTCTGAAGTATAAATTTCAATTGTTATTTATCTTTTCATTCCTGAATCCTGACTACATTGGAAATTAAGCTTTCGATATATGATTTTTGATCTAACCCAATTAGCTGCATTCATGTTTCTTAGGTAAATTGAAGATATTTTGTATTTTTGGTGGATCTGATTTCTGATTGAATGCGTAGATAAGGCTGAGAGGTTATTGGCTGAAGCAGCTGGATATGGTGCCCAGCTGGTTGTGTTTCCTGAAGCATTTGTGGGTGGTTATCCACGTGGGTCGAATTTTGGCGTTGTCATTGGGAACAGAACAGCTAAGGGTAAAGAAGACTTCAGAAAGTATCATGCTGCTGCCATTGATGTGCCTGGTAAAACTACTTTGTTTTTTTCTTTCTTGATGATTTCATGCATTGGTCATGTGTAAGAAACTGGGATAAAATGAATTCATTAGACTTCCCAGGTTGATTGAATGGTGGATTGAAATGCATTCGGTGCATTGAAATGTCAGTTGGTGTTTAAGCTTCAAATTCGTCTGTTAGTTGCTATAAGTTCTTTGTTTTTTGGAAGAAAATTTAAGCTGTGGACCTGTGGTGCAATGAACTACTATGGCTATGGCTGTGGTTAAGCATCAGTTTATTGTTAAACTTCAATTTCAATTAGTAGCTATAACTTATAATTTCGTTGCTTTGTTGTAGTGAAGAGAATTAACTGCCGTCCTTTTTTTTTTCTAATGAAAGTTAGATTCCAGAGGAAATTGATTCTAGTGAATATTTGTTTTTTGGCGAAAACTCTGTTGAATGTTTGGATGCAAAAACAACAACAAAAAAATTAAAAAAAAAAAAAGTTGGAAAAGACTTCCTTTGTTTTTTCTTCTTTTTTGTTGGTTATACTATTATTTCTTTTTACCTGTCAAAGTTCAAAAAAGAACATTAGTTCATTGGAAAATGGTCTCTCAATCCATTGAATAGAACTAACATCTTAACTGTTTTTACTTGGCCAAAAGGATACCAGTGGTTGGCATGAGAAGTGCGGGCATATCTGTCCTGCCCTTCATGAGTTAATTGTGGTTGCTAAAAAAGGACACTAGTGGTTCATGTCAGGCTCTCAGCGAAACATTCTACACCACTGTTTTGCAAGTGGATCTTATCAACGAAATTTTATTAGAAGTATCTCAGTTGGCTTATTGTTTTCCTAATATACGGAATTCAAATCTTATGTTACACCAAGTGTTAATAACTTTACTGAGGCATGCTATCATATTTTGGTCTTATATCAAAACGAAGGCGGACACTGTGTTCTAAAATTGTCATTGTTTGACCCAAATGCAGTCTATGAATAGAATTGTGAACATATGATATGTAGTTTCACTTTTTTTGTTAACTAATGCAGGTCCTGAAGTTGATCGATTGGCAGCAATGGCTGGAAAGTACAAGGTATTCCTGGTAATGGGTGTGATAGAGAGAGATGGATATACACTCTATTGCACTGTTCTGTTTTTTGATTCTCAAGGTTGCTACTTGGGAAAGCACCGAAAAATGATGCCCACAGCACTGGAGCGGATCATTTGGGGATTTGGAGATGGATCTACAATTCCTGTGTTTGAGACTCCGATTGGAAAAATAGGTGCTGCCATTTGTTGGGAAAATAAGATGCCACTTCTAAGGACAGCAATGTATGCTAAAGGTTAGTTATTTGAACAGGAAATTTTGAAATATCACAACTTCATTAATTATTTTTTACTCACTTTTTAAATACTTAAGTTTTCTTTGAAGCTATTGTACAATTTTTTTTCATTTCTTATTTTGGTGTTCGTAATTGCATCATTTAGTTTAGTGCTATATGAATGGAGGATGGCTTTACATGGGCAGTCAATACTATCTGGGTTTCTCATTTTACTTCCAAGCTATAGCCCTGTTTGAAACTGCTTACTTCCAGTTTTCATGCTTTGCCATGCAAGTTTGAGTTCCATATGGGGTGTTAACTTGTATACAGACCGGTATCAGGTCAAAAAGATTATTTGGCTATCTAGTTAGTTGAGTTAAGTATACTGTTCTGCGATCTTTATGTGGGGTTGAGTCAGTTTCTAGGTTCCTGTGCGATTGGTTGATTATGTTGCTACTCAATTAACTCAAATTGAAATAAGACACGGGCTTGATTTACACTTACACTTCTTTCTAAAGACTTAAAGAATAGTCTGCCAACATTTGTGGCATAGTCTGGTTGTCCTTACCAAGTTGGCAATTTACCATCCATTAAATACATGGTTTTTCCTAGCTACTTTTTTTCCTATTCTATCCTTTACTCTATATTGGGAGCAGCCTCTCCATAAATGGGGGTAAGGCTAGCCGACATTCACCTCTCCCAGACCCTGCGTAAAGCGGGAGCTTTGTGCACTGGGTACGACCTTTTTTTTTTTTTTTTTTTATCCTTTACTCTATAAGGGCAACCCCACCCTCGTTTGAGAGAGGACTCTCATGGTAAACCCTAGACTTTACTCTCTCAAACTCCTGTACAATGTAACCTACATTTGCATAATGAAACAGAACTACACCAGCATGAACATAGCCCAACTTCAGGTGAAGGTGAACCATGATACATCTTTGTGTTCCTGTTCGTTTGTGTGGTTTTAGGGTCCGATCTAAGTTGATCCAACTTTGTGCATCAACTGTGTTTTAGTTCAAAACAGTTCTTACCTCAACGTGAACATGAAAATTAATGGTAGAAACGACGCATTTCTTGGTGGAGTTTAAAGGCGTTCTTAGTATTGCTTTTGATACTTTAGTACTATGACTTGATGCTGGATGCTTTGTTGTGTGCAGGCATTGAGATATATTGTGCTCCTACGGCTGATTCCAGGGATTTATGGCAAGCATCAATGACTCATATTGCCTTAGAGGGTGGGTGTTTTGTCCTATCAGCCAATCAGTTCTGTCGAAGGAAAGACTACCCCCCTCCTCCAGAATATGCATTTGCAGGAGAGGAACCTGCTCCAGATTCTGTCGTCTGTGCTGGAGGCAGTGTTATTATCTCACCGTCGGGGACTATTCTTGCTGGACCCAATTATGATGGGGAGGCACTCATCTCAGCAGATCTCGGTATGTCATCTGCTTATTCTCTTCTAACAGCAATTAAGCATCTAGATTGGAAGCTGTGCTGACATAATTTTGAGCTACAACAATCCGGCTTTGAGATATAGTGGAAATTAGAAAAACTTCAACTTAAGCGAAATGGCAGGAACCTCCATTCTGTTTTCAGAAATTAAAGTACCCTCACATCCCATAATAGATTTCAGCATAACTTAACCTCAAGTTACTACAACTGCCTTTATGATATTTCCTATATTTTGTCCGTTTCAGATAATATTAAACATAAAACGGACACCAGATGCATCAGTTGATATGCAACCTTAATGTAACATTTCTAGAAAAATGAGAACCCTAGTCTGGTATAAGAAGTTTCTCTAAATTCCAATATGGCGGGGAAGCGGTACAGAGCTTTTAAAAATAAGAGGTATTTGAAAGTAAGTGTTGGTATAATTTACTGAAACTCTATGATCTAGGCTCTCTGTTGTGCTGTTATGTGTATGTTGCGAGGCAATATGGTTTAGTTGATAATATAATTTGATTGATCCTCTCTCTCACACACACACATAGATTACGGTGGTTATGGTTGCAAGCTTGTGGCTACGTTTCATGAGGACCAAGTGTTTTCCTTAAATAGTTATATTGCCAGCTCGAAGTTCGGAATGATCCCACAAACTCACATAGGAGGAATCGAATATAGTGGTAAATCAAATAAGCACTCATTTAGTGGACTATACAACCGAAACTGTAAACAAAGAAATCAGTATAAAGAGAGATGCATTCCGCCTGTAGTAAAACTGTCATACTATGTCTACAGTTTTAGCTGTTTTGTTTAAGGAGACTGAGCTCTGATATTTCTAATGTCCAAATGTTGCATAGATCTTGGAGAAATAGCAAGGGCGAAATTTGACTTTGATGTGGTTGGCCACTATTCACGGCCCGAAGTGCTTAGCTTGATCGTGAGGGACCATCCAGCAACTCCAGTTACTTTCACATCAGCCTCAGCAAAGACCGATCGCGCAGTCTCACATAAGCCATAATTAGGTTTCGTCAGTTCATCTGACAGTGGTTTGCAAAATGCAGGCCTGTTCAATAAGAATAAGACGACCCTTTTGTACATATATCATCAATGATGTATTTCCTCTGTAACCTGGTCGCCTTGCTTTCGCATATGGTTCTCGTTCGTCAAATGTGAATCGTTCCAACTGATTAGTACCATAAAGAATCTGCTACAGATGGAAGTTTAATATGGTTCTGTACTTTCTTGCTGTGTATGGAGATCAAGGTCCTAAATATGTTTTCCCAAACATGTTGAATTTGTTATGTTGATTCTGAATGCGACCGCAGACCTACTTAAGCAGTTACAGTAGTTACGGTTCTTCGCTCTACCCTTGAAATGCATTCCCCACAAGGCTTCAGATTCGCAAGCTCATCTAGAACTAGGCGCGTTGCATCCAGCATATGCTCTACAATCATAAAAATGTAAGCTATCGTGTTGTCCAAGTGCAGCTAATGCGAAAATGGTGAGCGCCTTGCCTTGAACGTCAAGAATTTCGGCAACCATGTCACAGTCTACTTGGCGAGGTTCGTAACGTTCGCTATCCCTAAAAGATCAAGAAGAAACCATGCAGCAAATAATGTATATTTCTCAGAACTCAAAAACAAATTATATTTGGTTCCATACAAAGCAGTGTGTAAAAGTGTATATACATTTGTTCTATCTGTAATATCGAACATGATCGATGCAAACAATTTTAGTGGCAAGATTTGAAAACACAAGCAAAGCAATGCGTTGCGGGGAAGAAGTAACATGAAAACGTCGATGTTCTCTTGATCCCGGCATTGGCCTTCTCTTCCTGCTAGTTGGAGCTTCGAACCATCCTCGTGGCCTCGTGGCCCATCAGTCTAACTTCCGCATACTTCGTTTCCTGGATCCTTCGTCGGAAAGGATTGGAACTGACAAGTTGTACCGGCTAGGCTATGGATCGGAACCACTTTTGAATTCGATAACCTATGGTCTGCAAGACCCTTAACAGAACCATTTTTCTTTGTTTCGGTTTCATGTTCTGGGGTTTGAGTTTGCGGAACAAGCTCTGATATTTCTATAAGCCGCCCGTCTGACTGCCATTGAGATTTTACGCCAAACTCCCAATCGATACCGCTGGAATTTTTGTTTAAGCATATGCTTTCCCATTGTATTTTTTCGGAGAGCGATCTTCTCCCTTTGAATTGTTTATCAACCGAAGTCCGCTTTGAATCATCTTCAGTATCATCTCCACAACCGTAACTCCATTTGTAGCTCTTGTTGTTATTGTCCATGCTTAGCTCGATGGAATGAAGATCGCTATCAACTGAAGTCCGTTTTGAATCGTCTTCACATTCCACTCTGTATGCAGCAACTTCCATTTCATTCCCTTCTATCTTCGCGTTCTGAAATGATCCAAAATTTATCTTCTTTAAATAAGCCTCGAGTTCCTTGATTTTACTGAAATCTGGAGAACCGCGACTACCTTCGCGCGTTTTGGATCTCAAATGAGCCTCTAGTTCATTCTTTAGCTGTTCCACAACGGCATTTTTCTCCTCAAAATGATATTTGGCTTCAGAAAGCTTCATCTGGACTCTCTCCTCGCGCAACACATCGGCTAGCTGAAGCATTTCCCTCTCCTTCTCCACTTCTTCACGGACTTTCTCCGATTCTTTCTTTAGCTCTTCGACTTGTGCTCTGTCCTCCCCAAGACCTGTGGCTAACTCATCACAAACTTGCTCAAAAATCTCTTTTGCCCTCTTCTCCCTCTCGAGCTCTTTCGTGGCCTTCGACAGAGCTGCCTCTTTATCTGCCAGTTCTTTCCCTAGCTTCTTGTTCAACCTTTCTGTTTGTCTTCTTAGCTTCTTCTCCACCTCAAGTTCTTCTGCCATGCACGCTATTGCAGCACGTATCCTCTCTCGCTCCTTACTTTTCCAGGCCGCCTTTTCTTCTGCGAACTTCTTCATGAGAAACTCAATTTCGTTGCAGTTAGACCTCTGTTCTCGGATCAGTTGATGAACCTGGACACGCGCTCGATCAAGCTCAACTCGTAAGGCTGAGAGTAGGGTTGTAGTTAACGAATGCTGCTCTTCAAGACCCGAAATGCGAGTAAGAACCTTCACAAGCTCTTTAGATGTAGAAAGGCCACTACTGACATCCTTCAAACCGGTCTTAAATCCGTGTATGCATTTTCGATCAGGTTTCCCACAGGATTGATATTTGACCTGCACATTGTGAAATTCAATCAACATGTCTGCTTATTCATCATCCTAGAAACTCACTCTTGAAACCCTTGCAGCCTAATGCAATCAACATGTCTACTCAAAGATTGAAGTAACAAACATTCTTTTTTATACAAGCGATATCAGGGAGTAAGGAAGCGAACTCGAATTCTCGGGCGCAGGAGTGCGTACTTTAAGCAATGGGATTTTTTATGGTGTTCCGGAGTATGAGACTTTAGAGCATAGTTGAATTTTTGTTAAGTATAACAAACATTCTTTTTGGAGTAATGATAGGGAAACTAAATTTTTAAACCAAACTATGTAAACCAAATGATGTGGTTGTTGATGATTGGATTATTAAATAAGTGTCGATTAATGCACTTATTTCTTATTGATGATACATCATTTAGTTTGGAAATTTGGTTTAAAATTTGATCTCCCTAGCATTATCCTTCTTTTTTATAGAAGGGATATCAGAGTAGTGGGGGAACTCGAGACCTCCAGTGACGAGAGTGAATGCTCTTAACTAACTAAACTATGAACTTATTAAGTAACATACATTCTAGTCGACCATTAAAGCAAATGCATTAGATTAATTATTTAAATTGAAGAGCTAATTTTTAGGAACAATTAACATGATTTGTCATTTTTTGACATTTGGTTTCACGAACAATCTTCGACACAGCTAATTGGTCATTTCTACACCCCAAATGTCGAAAATGATCATTCTAGCCAATTGTGCAATTTGTAAACACGAAGGTGATGAACTAGATCAACTTTTTCAAATACAAAAATTTATATCCTATTCATTGAAAATGACAAGGCAGAAAACTAGATTTGATATTTATGTTCCATTCTATGGGGACAACTTTATTTGAATCACTGTCAACATCTTCTTGTCCATTTTTTAATTTTCACCCCTTCCACACAAACTGTAAAAATAAATTCCAGAAAACATGTACCTTTTTTTTTTATCAAATTTATATATATATATATATATTGAGATTGAAATGCAGTTGAATTTTTACCTCAGTTAAACTAGCACTTGTAGGTCTCTCGAAGCCTCCCATTTGGTAATCATTCAAATGATGTTTCTGAGAAACGACCGACAATCCACTTTGGCGTCCACCACCCCCACTTTCATTTTTTATCTGCACAATTCCCAACAACAAGCAATATTACTTTCAAGCTTCAATTAATAAACAAGAAACTTACACTTCCACTCCGTAAAAAAATAGGTAGCTTGCGTGGTGAATTAACTTGGTGATTAAGGTTTTATTTTCAACTTTCTATCTCCTTAGTATAAATTAATATAAAGTATAGCTTGTATATAAAAGAAAAATCTCATTTTGCATTCTAAATTTTTTATAATAAAAAAGAAAAACAGACTAATGAGGAGTGTATAATGAAAATTTTGAAATACTAATAACAATTTTCAAAAAGAATAAATAAATTTATCTAATTTATGACATTTAGATTGAATAAGCCAAGAAAAAAATGTTTGCCAAATTCATTTGCCATTGAATAATGCTAACAAAAAATGAACAATTTGGATTTGTGTTACTATCTAATATGTAAACACAAGAAGCTCGATAAACAAAGTGAATTTTCCAACTTATTTTCTTTTCTGCATTTTTTTTGGTTCTCTTTTTTTGCATTTTCATTGAATATATAAAGAAAATATGAAAAGAAAAAGTAAATAAACAAATAAAATAATCCTTACCTCATAAAAAGGAAGTTAGAGGTGTGGAATCTGATAGACATGGCCGGAGGTCAATAAGGAACGGCGATAGGAGAAAGAGACACTTTAGATCGACATAATGAGGATAGTAAACGTCTGTTCATCAGAAATGGAACGTTGTGTGTCCTTGTGAATCATTCGGCCTTTATATTATATTATCAACGTTCTTCTTATCTGAGTAAACTGATCGCGTCTCAAGCTTATACTCGCCGAGAGAAACACGAAACCAACTATTCATCTTTCCTTTAGTTTGTATCGGAGGCCGCCGCGGCCAAACCGTTGTTGAATTGTAAATCCTGAATTCTTGCCGACTAAGCTTGCAACGAATCGCCTTATATTTGAGCATTTTTTCAATCTTAATAAAATATCTATCTAATTTGTTCCCCCAAGTTGTACCAAAAACCATCGTCGCTATTACTACGGTATATGAACAAGTTAATGGCAGACAATAACTACCATAGCACCAAGAAGCTCTGTCGTCACCAAGGGAGGCGCTCAGAGTCTTCACATATGTTGGGGAGACTTAGAGAGCGTTGGACAGCATCTTGCTTTCTCACCGACCCAGGTATTGCCCTCTGTTCTAGGTTCGATACTTAACAGAGAACCAAGGAAGAACGCTGGACGGAACGAGGTTAAGGCGCCGCTCGCGCTTGAACTGATCTTAGTCTCGATTTGAGGCGCTGTCGACGACACTAGTCCTTTGTGCGAATTGTGGAGTCTGATTTATATACTACCAAGACAGATAAAGAATTAAAATTCGATAACCTAGAGAGATGACACACGAAATATGGGGTGTGGGTGAATCTTTTGGAGTCAAATGATGGCACGAACAAACACAATTATAGAAGATACTATTCTTGAAAGAGATTCGCGCAGATAGACATGGAAGGGAGAGAATTGGGAGATGGCTTAATGAACTAGGAATATGGTAAAATTAATAAGAGGGTTGAATATAGATAGTCTGAATAGAAGTAAATTTGAGGATAGACAATGATGGTAGATCCAAAAGAACTTTTCTTTTATAAGATATATATTATTATTTATAACTGAGAGAGTCATAACCATGAATATAGGCAAAGAAGAAAAGTCGTCACAGTTATTCTGGGATATGATGGATTTATAGGAGACACGCAGTTCTTAAAGTCATGACATAAAAATGAAGACCTCATATTACAAGCTGTCAAACTATCAATTAAGGAGGCTCTGGCGGTGGGGATTTATGGAGTGGGAGAAGAACTCTAATAATGCGAATGCTTTAGATCTTGCTTATTATAAAAGTCATGAGAAGTTGCAATAAAATTATCAAAAAGCATACAATGAAAATATAGACGTATACCAGATGATTACTTCCTTGATGTTTAAGAACTGGAGCAGGGAGGTAGTAAGTAATCAGAGATGGGTATCTTCTTCATCTAATTAAATTACTGAGAAGAGAGAATGTTGGTTATTATTTTACTTCAATTTACTAATCAAGAGTTACATAAGCATAAGTTAAGTTGGCAACCCAATTGGAAAAATGAACAATGAAAATATTAGTTTTAGGATTTATCAGCTTGATAATACACTAATCTTTACAAGAGTTCGGATGGAACGGAACGTGATTGTTTAACTTTACTTTTAATTTTCTCATATTAGTATGATTTAAATAATTGCGGCGAGATGTCTCGCTAATTGACATCACATTATTTCCCAACCAGAATAAACTCATGCATACATTTCAAGTTATTGTAGTCGAAGCCTACTTTCTCCCCTTAAGTGTAGAAAATATTGTTTGTTTTAAAAAAAAATATAATAATTGATGATTACATTTATTCGGTTCCACTAATAAAAAATGGGCCATATTATCCGTCAACTATAACTCCACATCTTTTTCGCGCATACCTAAGAAGAACCAGAGAAGTGTATTCAACATTTTCCTGCTACATCATTAGTGGATTGCCATACGCAGAACACATTTCATCCGTAACGTCAAGGTTCCATAAAGGCCAAAACGATTAGCAAGTTTTTGGCCTATTGAGAGAAGCACTGAATAAAATAGTGTGGAAGAATCCGAGATATCGCAAGGTATCATGAGAGTAGTAAATTCACGTATCTCACCAAATTGTGCCAGGGCATGCCCTCCACTAAGAATGTGATATGTATAATTTAATCGATGAAGTTATAATATAAACATGTACGCAGGATGTCAGAGTAACGTTGAAAAAAAAGAAACAAAACGTAAAACGTATAGAGAATGGTGAGGTTTGAAATCTAAATAATATAACAGTAACGATGAGTTCAACATGGTATATCAAATAATATGTGAGAAAATCCAGTTGAATGATGACAATATTACATATTTTCACCTATTGTTTGCAAACACATACTTATTTTCTATTTTGACACCTAATTAATTATAACATTATATTCGTGCTATCCTTCTAAATAAATATTACATTTTGACAAAAATAGAGAGCGAGGAGACTGAAGAGGATTGATTTATAGGGAGAAAGGTGAATCTCGAGGCATTTATATTTAAATAGACTATGAGATTTAGATATTATAAAACAATGGTGGAGATGCATCTAGATTTTGTGGTGAAGCCCAAAACATGGTGTACGAGAATTGCATTTCAAGCTAAGGTGACTTGATGAACATGAATGATACATTAGAGGGTCAGGCATAAAGCGGCCCACACATGTAGTAATTAAAGGTGTGTTTGTCAGACTTAATTTTTTACTATCTGACTATTACGATCCTGTGTTTCTCACATCTCTCTCCTGTCTCTTGTCTCGGAGTGTTTACAATCTCATATGCAACGATCTCTGCTCTAATACTACTTCCTATCAGGCCCTTTTTCTTACTCTTTTTTCTAATAAAAACACTAGCATCCACATCTAGCTCGGTTTAAATTACATCTTGTGTTTAAATTATGATTCAACTGACTAAGGAATGAAATCAAAACAAGAATCTACTCATTTAATTATCTGTTTAAAACTTGAAATTTAGGTCATCTTTCACCATTAAAAAAGAAAGAAAAAGAAAAATGATAGGAACTTGCAGTAAAGAGAGTTTTTGCGTTGCCTTGAGGTTTTTGGTTTAAACTTATGCTAACTAACTTGGACTTAGCTAAGATGTTAAAACGAGTTAGTTCTACTTGCATCGAATTCAAAATATTGTCACAAGGAGAGTTAGTGAATTAGTAATTTGATTAATAATATTGTGGTTCAAATTATCGTCACAATAAGAGTTAGTGAATTAATACTTGATTATCTCACAATATGCTAACAATATTGTAGTTCAAATTCGTTTGTGCTTGTGACGAGAATCGAACCTAATACCGTTCACTTACAAATGAAGAAAAATATCACTAGACATGTCCAATCTCTAATAGAAAAATAGTCTAAATATAATATACAAAAATATGATAAAAGTAGCATTTTTGTTAATTCACTGACCAAAAGATATAAAGGTCAATTGTAACTTTAGCTAGTATATTACAATTGAGAGAGATGTGAATTATGTAGTTGAATGGGTAAATTACAAACAATACTGAGACCTCCTGTGATTCTATAGGTAGGTCTATTTAATGTACAATCGCATAACACATCGTTCACAAACACATTTTATAAGAATACTCATAACATCTCCGAATTCTACCTTAATTCTTTATTTGCTAGATGGGTAGGTTATGTTACGCCGTTGTTGCATCCATTAACATTTTCATCTCATCTAATGCAATAAGTCGTAGACTAACACCCTGATTAGATGTTTGGAGCACTATCAACAAGACGTTAGGCAGCCGAAAAATGTCTGCTGACTCGATAAAGGCTAAATAAAAAAACACATATAATTTTTGTATCTTTATAAAAAAACGTGAAAATTTTCAAAAAAAAAAAATTGAAACCCCACATATTATCTCCAAAGAATCCGAAAGAGAACGCCATTAAGTTGCAGGGACACCTACCCCGCCCACACCAACTAAATTCAAGTAAATGAAGCTATTCAGTTTTTATAACAAAGATACCACCAACATCCCTAGATACCCTAACCTCATGGACTACCTCATGTCTATGTTAATTGGAATCTAGAACATTGGAGAAAGAGAAAAAGAAGATAGAATGGATAATTAGGAGGTGGAGACAAGAAATATATACAAACCACAAACCCACCAGTTCATCCCCCACCGCAAAAAAACCTGCTAAATTCCATGTGAAGAGAAAGCAAATAGAAGAAAGAAGGTAAAGAGGGGGAGGAAAAAATAAAGACAAAGAAACCTTTTTACACCCCACAAAACCCCAAGGCACATACTATACTATTTTAAAAGTGTGTGTAGAGTATTTGAGAGAAAAGGCAATTTGGAATTGGTTTTTGTGTACGAGTAGGAATATATATTCCACCTAAACCGCGGATGGACATATTCTTTTTGGTGGTGTGGAGTGAATTGGGGGATTTGGCGAGCGGGTGATGGGGGAATGGGAGAAAGAGAATTGCTCGGTGGGACGAACTGAGCGGACTGGTATTCATATTTTTTTCACGTGTTATCAATTTTTTTTATCGCCTACTTCATTCTTGCATTTCTTTCTTTTTGCGGTTTGTCAAGAGTTTTTTGGAAGGGTGACGAAGACCTGAGGGATTATTAATTTTTTTTTCTATATCCTCTTCATATCTTCGGTCTACATGCCAGGTTAATCCTGGCAAGGTTCTGGTTGGAAGGGAGAAATGGAGAGGAGATTTTGTAGAGTGTACCTAGGGGTTGAGGACTACTGGGTTTTCAAATTTTTTTTTTCTCTTAAAATTCCAGGTTTTATTTCTTAAAAAAATTAACCGGTTTATTTTTTATTCCTAAACAAATGTGGCGAGACATTTGGCAGCCAAATGGTATAAGCATATCCTAAAAGGCCACGTCTGGGGACAACTTCGAGGACGATAATGAATGTTTTTTGGACAAATGTTATATGACAGGTAGAGTGGTTATTATTTGATGAGGTATGGGATACAAGAGAATGTATGCGGATATTGAAAGGTTTGAAAAAGA